AGCCGATCAATGATTCTCTCTCATCATTGATGTTTCTATCTCTCCCTCTCCCTTCCTCTCTGAAGTCAATTATATACATTTAAAAAGAAGAAGCTTACTTAACTATTTTAATAACAGTTCTCATTCACTGGACAGTTAAAATCCCCTAATTTGATCATTTAAAGCAGCGGTTCTCAACCTGTGGGTCGAACGACCCTTTCACAGGGGTCGCCTAAGACCATCGGAAAACACATATATAATTACATATTGTTTTTGTGATTAATCACTATGCTTTAATTATGTTCAATTTGTAACAATGAAATTGGGGGTCACCACAACATGAGGAACTGTATTAAAGGGTCTCGGCATTAGGAAGGTTGAGAACCACTGATTTAAAGCTTTTAAATGTAAGAAACTAACTCTCTCCCTCTCCCCCTCCTCCCCGCCAGCAGCTGACTGTGGAGAATCGACTTTCAGTGATGTTCCCAACGGGCAGTGGATGAGCCAATCGTTTACGGACCAGATTCCTTCCTTCAACAATCATTGTGGGATGCAAGAACAGGAGGCAGGAAACCTTGCTTAGGCACGGTGCTTCTCAGCCCTGCTCCAATGCTGCAGTTTTATTGCAGTTGTCAGGAAGTGGCCCTCAGTTTGCTAACTGAAGTATTTTATTAGTGTTTTCCTCTGGTGATGTAACCATAGTACAGTTGTGTGGTAGAATCAACTGTATGAACCTAGGTAGTTTGGAAGGAACATTTAGGATTTTTTTTGTACATGAGTTTTTGTATTTGAATGAACCATCATTCCAGCATTTTATAAAGGCTTTTTCATTTAGGAAGAAAGTGATTTTCTTTTGGGAGTCACTTTTAAACTGTAATTTAAGAAATGCAACAGTCTGAATATTTATATTTGATTATTCACTGTGCATAAGCCTAGAAACACCATTACCCCTCTTATGCCTAAGAAGGGCATGCTGTTAATAAGAGTTGCCACTGGTAAAGAGGCAGATGTGTGGATTTTCATGTGCAGTTAAGCCTCTGGAGTCGTGTTCACACTCAGACCTCTTTACCAATGGTGATCGTTTGTGAGAGTTGCTTTCTAGTACAAACGTAGAGTGTGGCCTTGCAGCAGCAAGACCAACCTGGCCTTACGTGACAGGGCATTCAACCCTGGCTTTGGCCTCCTCACCCTGTGTGTTAGTTCTCTAATAGGCAGAACCTATTCTGCTGGGATGGTGGGCTCCAGGGAATGCAGTAGACCTTTTAAATGTTGTTACTTCATCTGTGTTTTACTTGAGAGATACACTCGATAGGGAAGGAACTGAACTTCTCTTTCAGTACCTATCACCGTTCGAATTTTATCTTCCTCTTAAATGTTGTTACTTCATCTGTGTTTTACTTGAGAGACATACACTCGATAGGGAAGGAACTGAATTTCTCTTTCAGTACCTATCACCGAATTTTATCTTCCTTGGCTTTAGGGGTGTAACATGGCAAGTGATGAGAAATGAATTTTCAGGCTGAGCGGCAAGGTGCTGGAGGTGTTCGATAACCTGTTTTAAACTGGTGCTTTATGTACATGAGATGTGCTACTATAATTAAGACAAATTTTCTTGCTAGTTAAATCTCATAAGCCAGTAATTTACAAACTTCTGTCTCTGCATCATTGTTCTTTGTTACTGTGGACTACGTTAACCTTATGCAAGGTTGGTTTTTAAGTAATGTACCTTTGTGATTTTTAATGCATTTTCCAAGGTGCTACAAATAGTCCAGACTTCTATGCCTGGCAGATATAAACCTGGGTGTTTGGAAATGCTATTTGCATCTCCCCTTGATCACTTATACCCACGGAGCATGCTTTTCAATATGGAAATATTTAAAGAGAAACAAATCCTTGTTGTGAATCTTAACATGCTGTTTAGCTGCTGGCTGTGATGAATTTTATTTTTCCTTTAGTCTGGATCAAGCTGTGTAGGAGTCATTCATGTTATTTAAATCATGTACTGTACTGCTGTTTACATGGATGTTTTGTGCAGGTGCTTTGAAGCACCTTGCATCAGGGACTAGGAACAACTGAATTATTTTTTCATGGGACTGTGTAAAGCATGTAACTAGGTATTGCTTTGGTATATAATGATTTGTAGCCTTACAATGGATTTTTTTTATTTAAGTGGAGAAAATACCCTTTAAATTATGGACACTTATTAGAGAATGGGTTTAAGGACTTTCCAAGCGTACAACAATGGTGTGTTTCATTAAATGACAGGTAGTAAATGTTGATATATTCTATACATGACAGTATGAGACTTTTTCATTAAAAAATATTGAAAAAGTTTTTAAATTCATTTGAAAGTCTGATGATTTTTACAATAAAAAATATAAGAATGATAATCCTTAAGTTGCAGGCTTTTCTGTAGCGAGACTTACTGGTATTCTTTCATCCTTTAAACCTGAGATCAGTTTGCCTTCTGTTATATTTAACATATAGAATACTATATACAATGAGAATCATTAAAAATCTATGACTATTTTATTTTTCAGGCATTCATATTTTAAGTGTAATACAAAAACACAAGACTGGCAACCTGTTAAAAAATACCTACATGTGAAAAATACATGTAGAAATTTTGAAAAGTTTTAGATATAATTGTCACTGAGTTAAGCAAATTGGTTGCTGGAACCTACATGGGTTTATTTCTTTCCAACAATATATTTCACTCACATAACCTTGATTTCCACACTCAGTGCTTGTACGTAAGGAAGTAATCAATACCTATGTGATCCAAGGTATTACTTGCACACAGTAGTCTCTGTTTTTCATATTGTAGATCATACATATCGAAGGTACTGTTCATAAAGAATGATGTTATATCGCCCTGACCGGTTTGGCTCAGTGGATAGAGCGTCAGCCTGCGGACTGAGGGTCCCAGGTTCGATTCCGGTCAAGGGCATGTATCTTGGTTGCGGGCACATCCCCGGTGGGGAGTGTGCGGGAGGCAGCTGATCGATGTTTCTCTCTCATCGATGTTTCTAGCTCTCTATCCCTTTCCTTTCCTCTCTGTGAAAAATCAATAAAAAATATTTGAAAAAAAAAAAAAAGAATGATGTTATAGTAGGTTGCAAATGGACAATTCCACATTTTTATACAGAAAATATATAAAGTGTCAGCTGTTTTGGTGACTGAGTTTAAATATCCCTGCAGGGTCAGGAACAAACCAGCTTTCCCATAAGTCATTGTGAACACTGGGGAAGTCCCAAGGTTTATGTCTTCCGTTCCAGTGGAGTAATTTTGCTTCTTGCAGAAAATGCTCTGAATATCTGGTATCTGGACTCCAGCCTTTATTGTGTTTAGAGAAAAAGAATAGGCTTGTTAGAAAATAAAATTTTATATATTAAAAATTGAATATAGGTTCATTATAAAAAAAATTAAACAAATTAAAGGGTTTACAATGAAGAGTTTACCACCCACCCTAAATCTCTAAAATGACCGTGGTTTGCCTGGCTGGTGTGGCTCGATGGTTGAGCATCGACCTGTGAACCAGGAGGTTCCCATCAGGGCACATGCCTGGGTTGCTGGCTTGATCCCCAGCATGGGGCGTGCAGGAGGCAGCCAATCAGTGATTGTCTCTCATCATTGATGTTTCTATTTCTCTTCCTCTCCCTTCCTCTCTGAAATCAATAAAAATATATTTAAAATACAATAAAGTGACCATGGTTTGAGGTTCTCATGAAAAACTATTCTACCTGTACACCAGTATGTGTGTAAGTGTGTATATAGTATGTATTTGTATATAGACATACCCATGCATGTTATATATGCATTTTAAAAAATTTGTTTGTAATTTGACTTTTAAAATTACTCTTAGGAAACTTTCCATAGTTGCACATTGATTTACTGAATTTTTTTTTTTTTTATGTTTTTATTGATTTCAGAAAGGAAGGGAGAGGGAGAGAGAGATAGAAACATCAATGATGAGAGCGAACCATTGATCGGCCGCCTCCTGCACATCCCCCAGTGGGGATCGAGCCCGCAACCCAGGCACGTGCCCTTGATCGGAATCGAACCTGAGACCCTTCAGTCCGCAGGCTGACGCTCTATCCACTGAGCCAAACCAGCCAGGGCTGAATTATTTTTAATGACTACATAGAATGCATCTATGATTACTTATTTACTGAGTTTCTTATTAAGGACATTTTGGCTGTTTCTGTCCCTTCACTAGAATCAACAATGCTACAGGAAACAGTCTTCTATCCATGTCTTATGCATGTATACAAATAGTATATCTGTAGAATAAGAATCTTGTAGGTGGAATTGTGAAATTGAAGGGTGTGTGCCTTTTAATTTTTGGTAAGAGATTGCCAATTGTCCCCAGAAGAACTTGTAACCGTTTGCCTCCCATCCAGAGTTTATAGGAGTTCTTGTCTTTCTACATTATCCAACAATATGGCAAGATTTTCTTTTTAAACAATCTTATTTTGACTATATGAAAAGTGACCAAGAATAAGATCCACTTATTAACAAACAGCTATCTCCATGTGAATATTATTTCCCTCATAAGATTCACTTAGAGACTATATATGCATTTACCTTAATATTGCTGTTGCTCAAATATTTTTAGAATACTTCTTCCAGAAGTACATTAAGATCTTGAGAATGTAAGTCTTTTTTTTAAATATCCTCTACAGTGTTTTTTTTCTAAGAAAGAGAATTTGATATTTTTAAAAAAACAAGTCTATTGAATAAAGAGGGTGAATAGCTAGTTTATCATATGATGTGAGACAACCAAAAACCTGTCTTCTGTTATTCATAAACGCAGCTGTGAAGGTGGGTAGGAGAGGAGCCCAGCGTTTCGGGTTGCCGTGGAGTCTATACAGAGGAAACAAAATGCTTATTTGGGAAGAGGGACCTTCCTGCCAGAAGCCTCACTAAGTAGAACATCATCTCTCAGCTCTTTGACGGAAGGACCAGAGGGCCTTGCAGTTTTGCTTTTAGCCAAATATGTTTCATCACTTTTTAATATTTTAAGCCTCCCTGTTTAGACCCAAACTTAACACTGTTAGCATTGCATTGCTCTCTGCTTTCGGAACACTCTCAAATCGAGGTATTTCTCAAATGATCACTGTGTAGATTCACTTGGCAGACCACCCCTGATTCCAAAACCCTCAGCACAGACGACATTCCGCTCTACAGAGAAAAATGACTACTTTCTACAAAGAAAAATGACTTCTTTCCCTTGGGAAGATTCCGCCGCTTTCTACTTGTCAGTAAGTTAGATATTTCATAAAATGTAATTCTGAGTCTCTGTTCCAAGCTCATAAATGCTCTAACCTTATCGATCTAAGCTCCGCATAGCTGTACCTACACAACATTTTTCACAGACATTCTACTTTAATGGGATTTTCTGCACATTCATTACATTGAAATGTTGATATTTGACCTAACAGTGAACTCAGCATCAATATAAATCAAATCAGACGGAACAATAGTGTCCTTAGCTTCCCTGTGTCGCTTTTATGTGCTTGCAGATGCTCAGGAAAGTTGGGGAAGAGTCTGGGAATGAGGCAGAAGCCATCCAGACGGAATCACTAAGAGGAGACAGGAACCCAGCTTCCACAGTTTTGTCTGTGTGTCCTTCTAAAAGGCAGAGTAAGGGAAGTACCATCTTAGAGGATTGTTCATCTTTATCATCAGAACTGGGCCCAGCACTTGGAAATGCAATGGGCACTTGGCAAATAGAAGTCCATAATCCATTGTCTCCAAGTCTATAATCATCCCCAAATGTCTGAAAACAAAAGGATTTCTAATAACTTCTGTGGCAGCAAAACCTAGATCCCACTCAGGGAATTGCATAACATAAGTATATGCATTTTAGGGTTCAAAAATCCTTCTCAATTTCTAAATAGGTCTGGCTCAGTGGTTTTAGCTAAAGGGTTGTGGCCATGTGTTTGAGTGAATGTGAATGTCTGTTCTAAGCAATTTATACACTAATTGGCCAGATTATTATGACCATCCCATCAGTACTTCATTGACACTTCCAAAAATACTGAATATTGAAAACTTCCTAAGCAAATACTCTCAAGGTTTTATTATTATTATTATTATTATTATTATTATTTGCATAACTAATTCACTTCATTGTACCGATGGGGTGGACATAATAATCTGGCCGGTCATAATAATCTGGCCACTCAGTGTATATGTTAGGTCATTTATTCCTTATAAAAACTGTATAAGGTTCTATTAGCTTTGATTTACAAATGAAGAAAGTAAAGCACAGAGAAGTTGAGAACTTGCCCAGGACCTTAGGTAATAGCAGAGTTTTAAATATCCTCTACACCCTAGAGCAGTGATGGCGAACCTTTTGAGCTCGGCGTGTCAGCATTTTGAAAAACCCTAACTTAACTCTGGTGCCGTGTCACATAGAGAAATTTTTTGATATTTGCAACCATAGTAAAACAAAGACTTATATTTTTGATATTTATTTTATATATTTAAATGCCATTTAACAAAGAAAAATCAACCAAAAAAATGAGTTCACGTGTCACCTCTGACATGCGTGTCATAGGTTCGCCATCACTGCCCTAGAGCCTGCACTGCTGTAGTGAAGAGTGAATACACATAGGACACAACCAGTAAACAACTTCTCTTTGAAAGATACATTGCCAGCCCTGGCCGGTGTGGCTCAGTTGGAGCGTTGTCCTATACACCAAAAGGTGGCGGGTTCGATTCTCAGTCAGGGCACACATCTGGGTTGTGTGTTCAATTCCCAGTTAAGCAGTGTATGGGAGGCAGCCAATCGATGTCTCTCTCTCTCTCTCTCTCTCCCTCTCCCCCTTGTCTCTCTCCTTCCCTCTCTCTTTAAAGTCAATAAAAAGCATATCCTCTGGTGAGGAAAAAGAAGATACACTGCCAGCTAGATAAATGCATCATAAACCATTATGCTAATTCATTTGGTTTTGTCCACTGTAGGTCACTTCAAAGAGTTCAATAAAGTTATGAAAAAGTTTTGACAGTGAAAGTTCTAACAATAGTTAATGTTTATCTGGCACGTACTGTGTGTATGCTAAGCATGAGTCTAATTGCTTTTCATGGATTCCTAGAAACACGCCTCTCAGGCAGGCCATCTTTATCAGCTGCATTTGCAAATCTGAGCAATGACGGTTAAATAAGGAGTCCAAGGTAATCTCCAAGGTCACATGGAGGATGTGACTGAGGAAGCTGGTGCTCTAGCACACTTTCCCCAACCTCGTGCTCAAGCGATCTATAAAATGCACATTTGCATGGTTTTTCCACAGTGCTTACCCAGGTGCCTTATGTGCCACAGGGGGTTGATGGTAGAGTATTTCCCATGAAACACAATCAGCATTGGGGAGGTGGCCACCTCTCCCCCCAGGGAACTGCTGTAGAGATTCTCCCTAAGAAAATGAATAGAAAAGAAATATTTTAAGCCTGGAGCCCCACAGACTCAGATAAAGAAGAATCTAATCCTTTTAAAAGATGCAGGACAGTCTCTCACTATATAATAAGACTACAATCTTGCACTTTCCTCCAACCTTGTATTTTGAAAATTGTTAAACCTACACAAAATTATAAGCAGAAAACCATGAACTTGCATGTACTAGTTTCACGGTGTTAATATTTTGCCATTTTAATTCTCAGGCTTCTTAATGGCAAACACAGAAGATCACATTCTGATCCTCCATTATTTAGAATAAATTTGTTCACAAATTCAAGGTATGGTGGTATTAAAAATATCCAGAAAAAAAGCAGGCAAGGAAATACAATGACATGATCATAGTGATTGTGTTAACATTAATCCTCTATTTAAGACTTTAGTCATGAAATACAATACATTTTTAAAAATTCAACCCTAAGAAACAAAGTTGACTTCATAAAATAACCCTTAAAAACAAATCTCTGTAAGAAGGAGGAACTCGACTAAGGTAAGTGATTTTCAGTGGAAAAGGTTCAGTAGGATTCTGGGAGAAGATTTACAGTCGCATTATTAAATAACTTCTTAGAAAAATGTTTGTATTATAAGGATTCCGCAGGATCTCGCTTCCTCTGACATATCATTTGAGAATATATTTTCATCTATTGCCCCTTTTCTTCCCCAGTGAGAAAGTCTGACCTAAGATGTGTATAAAATATTTCTAACCCCTGAGCTATGCATAGAAAATTCATTGTATAATTTTGTTTTCAAGCACAGGGGGGCTGGGGGGGAATGACGGATGTGCACGTACTCCACATTTTTCTGCATCCATCTCTCCAGTTGTTTGGTGATACGTTGGTGCTTCCATTCCGTCATGTTGGCAACAATCACGCCAGGGTTGAACGAGCACGTGCTGGGGCTGATGCCGAGGTCTTTTATTGTCTTCTTCCTGTAGTCCAGGAAGCCCATGTAGGTGTTCTGTAAAGGAACAGGATATGCGTGCCACGTGGGAAACAATCTGAAATCAATCATTTTCTTGAAACCATGGTGTGGTGTCTCTGGGTTTCCTCCTGTGTCACTGGCCATTTCCTAGAGCCCTTTGCTGGTTTCCTCTTGTTTCCCCAACTTTTAAAAGCGGGGTTCCCCAAGTCTCATTTCCAGCACCTGTCTCTTTTCAAGCACTGACTCCCTGACAGCCTCATCCAGTCTCATGGCTCTAAACACCATCCGTGTAGACAGCCCTGACCTCCCCTCTGGATTTCCCACTCCTGCTCCATCTGCCAGCTCCGTGTCTCCTCCTGGATGCTTAATCCTGTCCCAAATGTGCTTTCCTACAACCTGCCCTATCTCAGTTAGTGCCACCCTATCTTTCTAGTAACACAGGCAAAAAACCCAGGGTCATTAGGTCATCCTTGACTCGTCTCATTCACTTTTCATCCAAATCTGTCAGCAAATCCTGTTGGTCCCATCTTCCAAAATATATCCCGAAGCCAAGCATGTCCCACTGCCTCTCCTGCTTGACTGGTCTCATTCACTTTTCATCCAAATCTGTCAGCAAATCCTGTTGGTCCCATCTTCCAAAATATATCCCGAAGCCAAGCATGTCCCACTGCCTCTCCTGCTGCCTTCCTTGTCTGGGCCATAATGACCACTCACTGGATTTCTGCACGTTCCTCTTAACCGGTGTTCCTGCTTCTTCCACCCCTTTCAACTCCACTCTGTCTCTATGTTACTCATCTGCTCCAAGCTCCTCTAATGCCTTCCATCTCTTTCAGAGTAAAAGCCACAGTTCCTAACATGGCCTGCCCTGCCCTACACCATCTGCTCCCCAATGTCCATTATTCTCCCTCTGGATCCCTCCGCCACATCGACCTCCTTCTTTAATCCGCCAGACACGCCCCTGCCTCAGGACCTTTGCACTTGCCCACTCTGTCTCTATGTTACTCATCTGCTCCAAGCTCCTCTAATGCCTTCCATCTCTTTCAGAGTAAAAGCCACAGTTCCTAACATGGCCTGCCCTGCCCTACACCATCTGCTCCCCAATGTCCATTATTCTCTCTCTGGATCCCTCTGCCACATCGACCTCCTTGTTCTTTAATCCGCCAGACACACCCCTGCCTCAGGACCTTTGCACCTGCTGGCAACATTTTCTTGGAATGTTGTTCTCCCTGCTTAAGTGGTTCCCTTCATTCTTTCAGGTATAGGTTCACGACACCATCTCAGTGGATCCTTCCATGATCACCCTAACATACAGCCCACCTCCACCCTGATCCTCTGTTAAGTATCTTACATGTCTTCCCACTAGAATGTAAGCTATGCAAAGGCAGGGATTTTAGTTTTGTTTGCGGTATTATTAGTACCTAAAACTGTCAGGCACATAGGAAGCACTCGGTGCATAGCTGAATGAATGTAACACCAGGCAGGACATAATGTTTCACACACATGGGCTGCCATAATCTACCTCAGTGGAGTGCCCAGACATGACACGGAAGTAACAGACATACTCGAGCACTTTCTATGTGCCAGGCACCGTTCTAAGAACTGCACATGCATTACCTCATTAGGTGTGTGCCATAACTTCACATGTATTAACTAACTTAGTTCTCACAGTGACTCCCCCCATTTGGCAAATAAAGGAGAAAACAATTGGTTAAGTAACTTGCCCCAAGCTACTTAGGTGATGGAGCCAAGATCGGGTCTGGTCCCAGAGCCGAGGCCTTAAAGCATGTCACTTCTTGAATGTCACCATTTAAAAATTATTCCCTGGAACTTTTTTAAAGAACAACATTCTATTCTTAATAACACCTTTCAGAAAACAATTGGTTAAGTAACTTGCCCCAAGCTACTTAAGTGATGGAGCTGAGATCTTGACCAAGTCGGGTCTGGCCCCAGAGCCTAGGCCTTAAAGCATGTCACTTCTTGAATGTCACCCATTTAAAAATTATTCCCTGGAACTTTTGAAGAACAACATTCGATTCTTAATAGCACCTTGCATTTTTAAAGCCATTCTTTTGGTTTCAGTATTACGTACAGGTTCACCTTTTCTCATTTCCACCCAGGTAAGGAGCTCTTTACCCTTGAACAAAATCAACATTTCCCTCTACTGAGGGGGGGCTCAGTATTACGTACAGGTTCACCTTTTCTCATTTCCACTCAGGTAAGGAGCTCTTTACCCTTGAACAAAATCAGCATTTCCCTCTACTGGGGGTGGTGGGGTGGTGGTGGTGGGGAAGCAATGGCTAAAACTCTGAAAGCAGAACCAAAGACTCAGCAAGTCTCTTTTACAGAAAACACCACCTCTGACAGAAGGGAGGTTAAGAGGGACCTAGATAACTATCATTCCTGGTGCATTCACTGAAGAACGGACACGCTCTTTCATCACAGCTCACAGAGACACGATAACATGGATATTATTGTTGCCATGTTTCAGATAAGAAAAGTGGCTCCTGCAGGGTTCAGGAACTTGCCCGGGAGTCACCACAGAGTGGAGCTGGGGTGTCCATCGGAAGCCCAGGCCCCTGGGTTCCGCCTCTAGCAATCCAGACGGGTGGGGCTCTCGAGGTATAGTAGCTTGCACTCATTCTGAGTTGGGGGGGATGGGAGGGGTGAAGGCAGGATTTCTGAGACAGTGTGCTCACCTGCAGCCCCACAAGTCTGTGCCTGTCCTGAAGCGAGGGCAAATCACAGTCATCTGAAAAGGCGGCCGCGTGGCCCAGGGCCAAGGTGGTGTCATACAGCTCCTGGATATCACCTGCATTTAGAAACACCAGGAGTTCAGAGAGTGCAGCATGAGTTTTAGGGCTGCATAGAGCCTTAGCGTTTAAACTAATCCCTGGTTTTCTGTGGGGGAGAAGTGTGTGATCCCCGATTTCATGTGGTTCGCAATTTACTGAATAAGAAAAGCTCAGCTCAATTTAGAAAGCCACCTGATAAGAAGCTCAGCTGGGCATTGGACAAATGTCTTTATTTCTATTGCTATGTAGGTACCCCACCGATGCTTGTCTTATTTGCATTTAATATGTTTTCAATTGATTTTACAGAGAGGAAGGGAGAGGGAGAGAGAGAAACATTGATGTGAGAAGAAACGTTGATGAGTTGTCTCTCGGAAGCACTGAACTGGTGATCTTTCAGTGCATGGGACGATGCTCAACCAACTGAGCCACACCGGCCAGGGCTATCTTATTTGCATTTAAACACCAAAACTTAGTTCTAAGAATGTCATCAGTGAGACTATCACTCCATACATTTTAGTGGTACAGAGAACGGAAAGGCAGCCAAGCTGTTTATCTCAATCTTTAACAATCTGAGAGTGGCTCTCAAAAAGCCAACTGGACTGTCCAGGGAAGTAAGTATCAACCCCTGTTTTCAAAAATTCCTGAATTTGCAACAATACTATACTCTCAAATTTAATAAGCAGAAAAAAAAAATCACTGGGCAGCTAACTCTTTGGAAAATGAAGACAGACAGTCATTCTACTTATCAGCGGCTCCTTTTCCAAGTGCTCCGGGCAGTCGGCGAGTATACCTTGTACAATGACATCGTCGTCCAAATAGATGACTTTCTCGTGTTGGTGGATCAGCAGAGGGAGATAAAACCGAACAAAGTTCAGCTGTGAAAACAGCAAAAGAAGCGACGGTGGAGAAGAGGCACATGGCGCAGTGTCTTCCAAGGGTGCTGGGGTTCAGTGGGAGTCGCAGAGGCTTCCTCCTGAATCTTTAGGCCACAAATTGCCTGTCTCCCTCTACATTCAGTAATTTGACTGCTGTGAGCTAAATCAGCCTTACACACACACACACACACACACACACACACACACACACACACACACACACACACACACACACACACACACACACACGGGCACCATCCTCAACTATAAGCTCAACCTCAGCTCCTTGAACCAGAAAATGGAGGAGCATCGGCAGAGAGCGGGAGTTTATTAGCCACCACACAGCTTAATCCAAAGCCCCAGCCCAGCTGGCGCTCCAACAATAAATATCTGGAATTGGGGAAAGATCATGTCATTAGAGGGCTTAGAATTGAGTCCATTTTCAAGGATGGATTTAAGTAGCAAGTATATGTAGAAAGTGGCTACATTCCCTGTAAATCTGCCATCGACGCCACTCTTTTTGCAGGGGAGAGTTGGTCCTTTTGGTAAGAACCCTTGCAGTAAAATACCTTAAGATTCCAAAGCTAGGAAAAGAGCTGGTGTCTTCTGAAAATATTATCTTAGTCGATACTAGGAAGTATATAATCCATCATGCTACCGGTTTTCCTTGGTTGCTGGGATATTCCAAGCTAAATGTTATGTCCAATCACAGCAGCCTGTGGGGTTGGGGATATTTTTTCCTGGCCTCCCTACCTGGCCCCTTCCCCCACCCCCACAGGCATATCCACACACATGAATGCATCCTACATGTTCTTATGCTTCATTCCTTCGTTGACTACTCTGTTATGTTGATGTTAAACCAGCTTAAATCCTTTTGGAAGCAAGTGACTTATAAATTACAAAGAAGCAGAGTTTGGTGAAGATCTAACAACTGTGAGGCTTCAGAACTATTCCGTCTGCATCCCAGTGGCGAGAACTCCATACCGAACAGAACAGGGGCTCACCAAGGACCGCCCCCAGCACAGCACAGTCCTACTCACAGGCTGGAGCAGCTCCGGCCTCGCTGAGTCTGGTCGGATCTTCCCTTTGAGGACCATAGGGTTGAATTCCACGACTTTAAAGTTTATTTCTCTCAATTTAGAATGTTCAATCCATTTTCTAAGGAGATAAAAAACAAACAAAAAACAACCTCTAGTATACACATCCCACCTTTCCTCAATTTGACTATTGCCTCAATCCATTGGCTCCTTAGAAAGTTAAAAATAAAATATGTAACCTACGCAGAGTTTAGTCTGTAATTCCCAATTCCCCGCCCCCCCCCCATCTGGTCTGGTTTAAATCTTTCCATTACTATTATTATTATTATTATTCACATAACTTTTTATGAAAAGGAAAATAAACAAAATAGTAATAACCAAATATCTCCCCACATCTATGTCATCTCCACAGGTAACTGGAAGAACATACTAGTAGCATTCCCCCTTTCTTATAAAGCAGCATCTGTAGTTGCCAGTACCATCCTTGTCATGTGTCAGCAACTCTGACATGTTATGAAGCGAAGAGGGATATTATCAACCTTCTGCGGTGACTGACGTCACCTTTACCCTGCTGTTCTGACTCCAGGGCCATTTGAATTTACCTGTGTTTCTTTGTTTCTGTCTCTCAGTCTTCCCCATCCCTCCTCATTCCCTGCCTTCTCCCCTCACATTTTCTCAGTCTTACAGAACTTCTGTCTTTTTAAAAAAAAACAC